CGACCATTTTGTGGAGAGGTGTATGGGCAGGAGCGTTGGACAACAGTACCTTGATCAGATAAGAAACTAAGAAATGATGTATCAGTATACTCAAGAGCATTATCTGTGCGGAGAGTTTTTATAGTAGAGGAAAATTGGGTATGTATCATTTTAGCAAAGGTCATATAAATAGATGGAAGTTCAGAGCGATGCCGCAGAAAGTAAATCCATGTAAAACGAGAATAGTCATCAATAAAAATCACAAAATAACGAGAACCATTCATAGACACAGTGGGCGAAGGTCCCCAAATATCCGAGTGAACTAAAGAAAATGGAGTATCCGCAATGGAAGTACTATGAGGAAACGACAGAGCAGGTTGTTTTCCCAACGAACAATCTACACAATTAAAAGACTCAAACTTAACAGAACCCAAACTACCCTGACTAATCAAGGACCTGACTTTATTGGAAGACGCATGACTGAGACGACGATGCCACTGAAGGCAGGATGGTGTAGAGGTGGTGGCAGCTGAGATAGAGGGACGAGGGACCTGGAGTGACGTAAGTTCAAATAAGCGGCCCGTCTTCCGGCCCTTCCCAAGAATCCGCCCGGTTTGCGCGTCCTGAACCTGCACACCAGTAGAAGAAAATAACACGGTGAGACCTTGATCAACCAATTGACCAACGGAAATCAGATTTAAGGTTAATTGAGGGATACAATATGTGTCAGGGAGGGATAAGGATGAGGTGGATGTATGTCCGGTATGGGTGATGCGCATATGGGTACCATCGGCAGTAAGGATAGGGGGTAAGGATGGTGCGGTGGATGTGGAGGTCATAAGGCGTATATCAGAGGTCATATGATTACTGCAAGCAGAATCAAAATACCAAGGAGAGTTACCTGATGTGGTAGACATGGCGGTATTGGAAGATAGAACCTGTTTAAGAAGAGCTTCCAGGTCCTGAATCGTAGGAGGCGCAGGCGCAGGTGCAGCAGAGGCTGTGACAGAGGAGGTACCAGACTGAGGTCCACGAGAATTCCGAGGCTTGTAGTTACTACTTCCAGAGCGAGGTGGTCTAGTGGGGCAATACTGTATAGTATGGCCGAAAACATGACAGTAGTGACACTCCACCTTTGGGCAATGACCGAAGTCATGATCAGAGGACTGACATCTTTTGCAACGATGAGAACGACTCTGAGTAGGAGTTCGGGCAGTGACCGCAAGAGCAGAGTCAAGCTGAGGAGCCTTAGCTAGGTGGAGACGAGTTTCCTCAAACAGAATCTCCTGAATAGTTGCATCCAAGGTAGGAAGTGGATGCCGATGTAACAAAGAGGCACGAACTGCCTCATACTCTGGACGCAAAGCCATTAAGACCTGAATGAGGCGAAGATGATCAGGACTGATCTCTGCTTGATCCAACCGATGCCAAAGGGGTTGCACTTGGTCAAGGAAGTCGTTGATAGATTGTCCTGGTTCCTGTTTTAGATCGTGGAGAGTGCTCCATAACTGATAATAATGTGCCAAACCAGTAGCACGGAAGCGGACTGCCAAGAAATCCCACGCTGCCTTGGCAGTGTCAAATTGGGCAAGCTGAACATGGATCGCCGGAGTGGAAGTATTGCGCAACCAAGTGAGAATTTGATGGTTTTTACTATCCCAATCTTCCAATTTTTCAATATAAGATTCAACAACTGTGGCGGTAGGCGTAACTTCTCCTATAGAGACTGGAGCAATGGGGGCAACTATATCTCCCGTAACAATTCGCCACAATTTCCGACCTATCAAAAAACTTTTCATCGATTGTGCCCACAAACTGTAATTATCTCCAGACAAAACAACATTGATCGGAATATGTACATCCATCTTTTCCATAGAAACTCAAGAGAAAACAGAATCTCAAACCTCAAGCCGAAAGCCGAAACGAAAGAAACCGAATCAAAACCCGAAACACAAAAAGTCAACCGGATACAAAAAACTGCTCAAACCGAGGAAGTGAAGATACCATCGCGGAGGAAATCAAATTCCGAACACGACGGTGCAAAGATCGCCGCCAACGGCCGCCGCACGCGCCCCCACGCGCCGGCGAGGCGTCCGGCCGGAAAAACACGTCGGGCGCGTGTGACTCTCACGCGCCGCCGTTCGCCGAACTGTTCCGGCGTCCGGCCGGTCTCGTGACGGCGAAGGCGATGGTGGTGGCGGTGACGGTCGGAAGTGATCGGAAATATGCTATCTGGAATTCGTGGGTTGTTTCGATTTAGTCGGGAAAAAGCATGGCTCTGATACCATGTTACGATTTATGGAATAAACTCTATTTTCATTGAACACAATTAGGGTACAATATTATATTTATACAAGAGATATATTAGGTAGAATATATATATCAATATATAAAATATATATATACTATATATATATCAACAATCCTTAGTTTTCGGATCATCATCAAATCTCATATTTGCAAATTCCGTCGCCTCCTTGCTTGTTATATTGAAGAAACAAAGGGTGTGCTTGTTTTATGTTTTGGTTTGAAGGAATGTTTTTTATGTACGATACAAAAAAATATGTAGATAATATAAAAATAATAAATATGTGTAATAAATTAATATTATTTGAAAAATATGTTTAACTTTTTTTACGAAAAGAACAAAGCCAAATGCGCGGCTATTCATGCAATAACCAATTAAGAAGCTTTCATCAACCTTTGTATCTAACTTTCTTAGGGGATTTATGTCCTTTAGTTTACAACATTGTACAATCAAAATTTTCAAATCTCATTCCGTGTAGATAAATTTATAATTTTAAATAAATTCAAAGTTATTTGTTAATAAAACTGTTGGAACCAAATTTGGCTAGCCCCAAATCCTCTTCTAAATTTTTAGTATTACACCCTTGAGACAAAGGATTGTTGCCGAAAAAAGGGGGAAGTCGGCTTGGGTTTCCGGAAAGTACTCCAAAAATCTCTGCTGGAAAGGATTAACGATGTATTGGAGGGATTCCTAAGAAATCCAAATTGATTAGTATAGAATCTCAAGAAAATTGAATATAATTGAATGAAAGTAACTAAAAATTAATATATACGATTCGAAAAATAAAGTACAACAAAAGTAAAATTAAAAACCTAACATTAATTGTGTTTGTTTGGGGATTGAATTTTCAATCCACTATTCATCCAATTTCTTTTCCCCAAAAACCTCAAATCAAACACCTATTTTTTATTTTTTATATTATACTAAAAATCAATTTTACATTCAAAATATCACATCAACACCTGTTTATATCACATCATACAACTATTCAAATTCAAAATTTTTACTATTCAAATCCCAACTCAAAATTCAAACACCCAAACAAACACCCCCTTAAGTAGATAAAATAAAAGAAAGTGATAAGATGTTTCGTAAAGATGAGTCGTGTGTGTGAAAGTATATCTTAATCCTTATTTATACCTTTTGAAACAAGACTAACTCTCTACTCTTCGTTTCTTAGTTTTTAGGGGTTGATTATTTCAACATATTCTAGTCAATCATACGTCCATTAGTTGTTTTTGTCTTTTTTTTTTTTTTTTTTTAAATTTAATACGCAACCTTCGCAGCCGCTATTCTTTGGGTGCATTCTAGGTAAACTCTTGATTGAACCTAATAATCTACAAATTAAACTCGATAAAACAAGTCACCCTAAGTGAACCAGACAAGATCCGGAGACGTTAGGTTTGAATCTATGACCCCACAGTTATAAGTTCATCCCTACATCACTAGACTATTCCTTATAGAGACTGTTTTTTGTCTTATTTGAACTAGGGGATCCTTTGTGATGTTTGGTTGAACCGCTATGAGAACCCCAAGGAGGAACTACATGGAGCTAGGGACAGCCTTTAAAATATATGTATTTAATTCTTTATGTAAAAATAATAAAATAATATATTTTTATAATAATTTGTCATTCCTAATTTTTTATTTTGTAATGTAAAAAACTATAAAAATTTTATCTTATACTTTTAATCTTTAAATTTTATTTTTTATAGTAAAAAAATATTAAATTTTTATGTAATTTGTTGAATTTTTTTTAAAACATTTAAAATTTTCATTTTTTTTTTCCGGGGTGTACTATGAATAAATAAAAACAACATTGAATTCATAAAAATAAATCGATTTTATCCCTCCGAATTTTTAGTGCTGATTCCGTGACCATGAAAACCTAAAGCATCTAGCCAAGGTTTGGGGTAGCTGCCTTCAAACTCCAAATTTTATTTTATTTTTTTATAAAGATAGAAAAAAAAATTTATGCATTATAAATGCCCTCATTATTATCCTTTTTCCTTTTTTTTTCAACTGATTATTCACCATTTGTTAATCATCATTGGTCCCGTCCATAAGTAACGGTCAAATTTAATCACACGTACTACAAATTCTTGATTTATTTAGGGACCCTAAAAACATATTCCCTTATCGCACCTAATTTGTCCATATTTTCTATTTTCGTCCATTCCACATAACTTGTTTTTCTATTTTTGAAAATATAATTATGCACTTTAATAGCATTTTAAATTTTAAATTTTAAATTTTATAATTTTCTTAATTTTAGTTAACTATTTACTTATTTTAATCTTAATCTATAATTATTTTTACTAAATAATAATTACTTTTACTAATACACTTCTTAATTACTTACTGATTATACTTTACCTGAATTACTACAGTAAACTTGAATTACTACAGTAATACACCCATATTACTTGGGATGGAGAATATGCAGAAAATAAAAAATAACCAATCAAATAATAAGAGAATGGATATATATATATATTTTATATATATATATCTGGTTTTATTTCCAACAACAAAGAGAAACAACGGAAACGATCGACACTGGACACATATTTTTACAGACTCACAATAACAAATAAATGAAAAAATAAAATAAAATAATAATAAATTAATTAAACTCTTAATAATGTAATACTATTATATACATATATATATATTGATTTGAACGAAATTAGTATACTTAATTTATTAATAATTAATTCATTTTCAAATCGGGCCAGTACGGAATGCCGGAAGCCCTGATCCACTGGTCGCCGGCGTACACTTTTCCGGCGGCCCAATTCTCGGCGTCCTTTGGCCCAAATCGCTGTATCCCCTTCCACTTCACGCGCCGGCTCGTGTCGGCTCCGGGACCCGTGTTCCCGTACTCGGCGTAGTACAGAGTGTCCAGCGCGAAGTTCCCGTTCCACGGCGACCAGCCGGTGGGGTCGATGAAGCCGCCGATGTTGCAGAACATTATGACGGTCCTCGACAGCTCCTTCCATGGCCGGCCAAGGAAGGTCTGGATCGGCGGCTTGGCGCCGAGCAGCGCCGGCTCGGCTTCGATGGAGCCGCCCTGGATGACGATGGCGCCCTGGCTCCGCGGGTCGATCCTACCCTGAGCCGTGACCATGCAAGCCTGGTTGTCCATCGGCTTCCGTACGACGAAAATGCATTTCTGGAAGATGGAGAGCGCGTCGCCGAAGATGAAGTCGACGGTGCCGCTGATTCGGCAGAATCGGTAGAATTGACGGTAGGTGTGCGCGTAGAGGGTGTCCTGGTAGCCGTCCAGATTCACGTTGTGGAAGAGCGCGCGGTCGCCGGAAACCCGGAGCGCCACCGCCTGGTGCTTCTGCGGCCCGGCGGAGTTCTCGAACGCAATGTCCTTCGCCGTGAAATCCTCCGCGTCGATCGCTGCAACCAGTCGAATTCGATTAATTACTTACCTAATTGATTAATTAATTAATTCTACATAGGGTAGGGTGGCGCGGCTAGCGTATTTACAAATATGCAGGTATTTGATATCCGAATCGAACGGAATAAATACCCGAAATTGCAAACCGTATCCCAACCAAAAATTTCGATTAATAAAAAATATTTGCAAATAATTCGAATCGAACAAATACCCGAAACCGCAATAGTTATCCGAACCGACAATTTCGGTTAACCGAAAATATTTACACATAATTTAAACTGTATCAAAATTAAAATAATATATATTAATGCTAATTAAATAAAAATATTTGCAAATATTTCAAACATCTGGAGCGAAATAGAACCAAAATTTTTGGTTAATCGAAAATATTTGCAAATAATTTGAACTGAACCAACATTTAAAAAATATATATTAAAAAAATATTTCTAATTAAATAAAAATATTTGTAAATATTTCAAATATTCGAACCGAAACCGAACCGAAAATGTTTGCAATATTTGCAAATAATTCGAAGCGAATCGAAATTAGAAAAATATATCTTAAAAATTTTTAAATTTTAATTGAATAAAAATATTTGCAAATATTTCAAATATCCTTGTTAATATAAATTTTAAAATATAATAATATAAATATATTCAATTTGGTTAACAGGACGGAAAAAGTATCAAAAACCGAAACTAAACTGAACCCAACAAATATCAAATATGTAATATTTGTAATCGAACCGAATTTGCTCGGTCGATTCGGTTCAGTTTGGTTCAACGGTTCGATTTTTTTGCCCGCCCCTAAATTGAGATACTGACCGACGGTGGCGGACTGGTAGGTTTTGGTGCCGTCGATGAAATTCTTGTTGCCGATGATTCTGGTCTTGTCGGGACCTTCTCCGACGATGGTAATGAAGTTCTTCCTCTTCGGGATCTGTACATATTCCTTATACAGTCCGGCCTTCACGAGGATAACAAACGGCTTCGCGTTATTCTCCGGCACAGTTTTAATGGCGTCGTTGATGCTCCTGAACTGTCCGCCGCCGTTGACGGCGACGACGGCGTTAGGTTGCAGGTCGGCGAGCTCTCTCTTCTCGTACCACAAAAGCTTCCTGCCGGAGGCGAAATCGCCGATCCCGAGGCTGGAAAGGATCCCCTGAATGTCGGTAGCCATGGCGAGGCCGTTACTGGAGAGCTCCTTGGTCATTTTCAGAAGCTCCTTCATCTTCTCGCCGGTGTCGCCGGTGGTGTTCTCGAAGGCGTCGATGCAGGTCTCTTCGAAGGTGATGACGGCGCTCAGCCATGTCCGGAGGTCCTCGACGATCTCGTCGGCCTTGCTCGGGTCGAAGCTGCCGATCTGGTTCACCGACCGTTTCAGGTCGTCGACGGCGCGGTTCAGGACCTCGTCGCAGATGTCGAGGGCGTTCTTCGTGCTGGGATCGGCGGCGGCGTCTTTTAGGAGTTTGGAGTTTTTGAGGACGTTGGCGACGTTGCCGACGGTGTAATCGATGGCCGTCTGGACGATGACGCGGGGATCGGAGGAGTTGGAATTGGCGATGCTTTGTCTGCAGGCGTCTTTGTAGTCGGTGGAGGCGCAGATTCCCTCCTCCGCCTTGGTGTTGGTGGTGATCTCGCCGGCGCGGCCTTTCTTCGACACGGTGACGGCGACTCCGACGACGGCCGCCACCAGGAGGATGGAGGCCAGCCCTGCTACGGCGGCTTTCTTCTTAGCGTCTCCCATTTATTATTATTATTATTATTATTTAATTAATAATATATTTATTGATAGTATTATTTTTTAGAGGTGGAAGCCTCTTGAGCTGTTAAATGGTATATGGACGGGGAGTTTATTTATACCTGCAGTGAAGGCAATCGTGGCCGTTGGATTTTTGGATTTCTGAAAATAGGAAGAAGCGCATGCATGGCTGGTCGGGGTTTACGTGGAGGTGATAAAAGGTGGCCATGCAGAGGCTGTAATGCGTTTCTCGTGGCGAAGAGTGTGGTGTCTTGTGGATTGGAATTATTCACACCTTAATTAATTAGTCTCGTTTATATAATTGAAATTGATTTATTTTGGTCGAAATAACAAATATAATCAAGATACATATTTCCTAATATATTATTACTAGTCGTAACCCGTGTTATATACACGTGGTTGTTATTAAATACTCATTCCGTCTCATTTTTATGTATTTATTTGTTTTTTCACGAAAATTTAAAAATATTAGTATTATATTATAATATAGTAGAAATAAAGTAGAAATAACTAAAATGACCTTATTATTAGTATTATGTGAAATAAAATTTGTGTAATATATTATAAGTTGTAAGAGAATTTGTAATATTACTTTAAAAAAAAAAATGTTAGTTGATTCAATTAGCTGTTTGTATTAAAGTATTCGGTAAAACAACTGTTTGACACTAGCTGTTTATACATAAAATGACTATTAAAGACATTGATATGTTATTTTTTAAAATATTTAATTTTGTTCATTTTGTTTTGAAATTTATGAGAATTTTTGTTATTAATTATTGAAAATTATAAAAATATTATAATATATTTATTTTTATTTTTATTATTTAGATTTGAAAAAATTGTTTTTACTAAAGGTTAATAGTTTTTTATTAAAATTATATAAAATATAAAATAATAAATATTTTGTATATTTATTTTTATTATGTTAATTGTTATTTTAATATATAAAAATAAATTAATAACTTTTGTTTTTTCTATTTGATTTAGTTTTAAAAATTTATATATTTTATAAATAAAATAATGTATATGTAATAATTAATAATAGTAATTATTTTAAATTTATAAAAATAAAAATATAATTTAATAAATTAAATATATTAAAAATAATTAATAAATACTGCTATAAAAATATATTTATATGTATAAAATAAATAATTAAATTTTAAGGGTAAATAAGAAATAACCAAAATTAAAATGAAAAAACTCTTTCAAAACATTGGGTAGATGAGCTTTTTAGAAATTAGTTTTTTTGGGTCAAAAAGCTTTTTCAAAAAGCTAATTTACCAAATACCTAAATTAGCTTTTTAACTGGTCAAACAGCTAAAAATTGTTCGATAAGCTAAAAGCTCTTCAAAAAAACTCTTTTCCAAACACCCTCAAAGTCCAGTTTGACTTGCCCTATTTATTAAAATGGCTCAACTTAGACGTAGGATCTGTCTGGTTCAAACGAGAGAGCGAGCGAAGAGAATTTAATGAAAAGGGGGGAGACGAAGGGAGGGAAAAAAAATATTAAAATTGTAATAGTGTATATGGTTCATATGAAAGGCAAGGGAGGGGAGGCAAGAGAAAATGATATTTTTGTGTTGGGTTAGGCAAGTGAGGGAAAGGAAAATAGAATAATTTTACTATTTTGTCCTTATATTATATAAATAAAGAAAAATAAAAGTATTTAATAAAATTTGATTAATTTATTCACAAAGCATGATATAAAATTTCTTTGTCTAATATAATAAAACAAAAAACTACATTATAAAGCATCAGAAGAACCAAACACCATATACATAATGACCGATCTGCGTGCTTTGGGTGGACATTCAGTAATCGCTCAAAGTTGGTCTGGATTATTCATAAGAAAACAATATATCTGAGCCGATCGTGTTGTTTTAATTCCACGTTCCTCAATCAAATTCCAAATTTTTCTCCTGAAAGTGGACATAATTTGCTATTTCACTTTCTTTTCCATTATTGCATTATCGTGTTCTATTGTATGCGCTTCTTCTTTTAAACCTCCCCCGATCTCTTCAATTTCATTAACTTTCTTTTTGAGCGTCATCTGTTTCTTGTTTTTACTTCCACTAGTTGCGCTACGAGTATTATTTTCATAAATTGAGAAATTGTCCATATCATCATTAAAAAACACATCATTCTGATCTAAAGTGACTTCATTATGAGAAACAAGATTGTCTATGTCTTTAATGCTAAAGAAATTAGTCACACAAAAATTATAAAAATTTAATAAAATTATTTATAATTAAAAAAAAACATAAAATTTTAAAAACAAATCTTTATTAAAGCACTCCAAACTTCTGGTTCGGCATCTCATAATTGAGTAGAAGGATTCCAAGCAAATCCATTCAAGTATAACAATAGATATAATAAAATTTATATAAACTAAATTAATTATAAAAATTATATTAATTTTTTAAAATATATTTATTTGATAAAATCAATTATTAAAATTAAATTCAATTATTTAAAATTAAATCAATTTAGAATTATTTATTTTTTAAAAAAATATTATATATTATTTTTTGAAATATATTATAACTAAATTTAATGCATATATTATTTTAAAATATATAATGTAATATAGATATATGCACAATATACATTAATATTTATTCGTATAATTAAAAATAAAATAAATAAATATTAAAATTAAAAAATGTTATAAAAATTTAATAAAATGTTAAAAATGGTATGAGAGGTAAAAATTGTTTAGACCATCTCCAACCCATTACTTCATTTTTGCAGTAACTACAGTAAAAATGCAAAAATGGAGTCAATCTACAGTAATTTTACTTTAACCATAAAATTCAATTTTCACCTTAAAAAGTATATTCCCTATATATTCTTATTTTATATTATTTTATATATACTTTTTATATTTATAAATTACACCTCAACTTTAATTTATTTTTACAATATAACCCATATATATAATTACAGATTATATATCACTTGCGAACACTTATTAAAAAATAAAATTATACATTATATTTAAAAAAATAAAATTATATCACTTTCTAAAAAATAAAATTATATAATATACCCCAAAAAATAATAAAAATACACAAATACCAAAAAAAAATCACACAAACTCCACTCCAAAAATGGAATGGAGTGTACAGTGTTACTCCAAAAATAAGGGGGAATTTGACACGGTACACGGCTGCAAAAATAGGGGATGGATTCGAGCCTCTCCGCCCCCTGTTCTTAATAAAATCTCTCCCTTTCAAATTCCACCCAATTAAAAGGGAATAAAAATCTAAACAGATTAAATCTCCACCACTTCCTTCTCTTTTCCTTCCTTCTCAAAAAACTTAACCAAACACAAAAAATTTTAAAATTCCATTCATTCCCCTCCCCTCCAAAACCCTCGAACCAAACATACATTATTGTAAAATTTATGTAATTAATTAGAATTGACTTAGCTTTTTAAAAAAAAATAAATTTGTAAGCCTACCAACTCAGTCTATATATATATATATAATTTTAATTTAATATAAAAAATATTATATTTTAAAATATTTATATATATTTTTTAAAAAAAAATTAGTGATAATAAATAAAGAAAATTTTGATTTATTTTAAATTTAATTATATATGTTTATATAAAAAAAAAATTATATTTATATTTTTTTAACTAATATTACTTTTAAAAAAAAAAAATTATTCTATAGATTTTAAAATAAGTTTGTAAGCCAATTTTTTTTTGTTTTAGGTATTAGGCCTAGTCTGTTGAACCAAACGGTTTGACATGTTTTACATAGAACATGTAAGAAACATTTTGTGGGCTCAGAGTCCAAATGGGCCCAAACTTAAGGCCCATTTCAATCTCAATATCGCTGGAGGGAAAACACTCGCACCATAAACTTTCAAACTCATTTCAACTCTTCTCACTTGCCGGTGTCTCCCCTCCCCTCTCTCTCGTTCCAAGCCATTGAAATTCCTCAATTTTGTAACCCTAGAACCCTAGATTAGATTTGATTAGGTATTTTGTGCCGCAGGATTGAATTGGGTGGAAATTTCTACCAGGTATAAGCATGGAATGTTCTAATTTATGCAGTAAAGATGAATAGCGAAAGTGAGAATCCAGATTCGTCATCTCTTCCTTCTTCCTCCGGGAGGTTTCTGGAAGCAGTTCGTCCTCAGCGAGACCTCGAGTCTAATTGGACCGTCGATTTGGCGAAGAACTTGGAGGAATATCTGCTCAAGATTTGCTCGGGGCAGGTCTCCGGCGACGACGGTACCGTTCTCTCAGTAAATTTTGCTGAAGGTAAATATGCAATTTTTTGTTCAGTAAATTCTGCTTAAGGTGAATATACAACTTTTTGTTTGCGGGTTTTCACTTTCTGGCTTTCATTTTTAATTAGTTTCGCTTTTGGGTGGATTTTGTAGCTGCATTGCTGCTTCAGGGATCTGTGCAGGTCTACAGTAGGAAGGTGGAGTATTTGTATTCACTGGTTCTCCAGGCTTTGAATTTCATTTCGCATAAGAGGTGAGCACGTAAATCTTGCAGTTTGATTTATATATATATATATATATATATATATTTTGAAGTTTTGATTTAGGGTTTCTGCCGTTGAACTCGTGAACAGAGTGAAAATGACAAAAAATAAGATAAAATCATTAGTATGAGATTTCCACAATACCTTCTGTAACTTCTCTAAGGTGTCCTCAGATGAAAGTTTTCAATCTTGATGGGCCACTTAGTTTGAAATTTTTTTTGAAGAATATGTGTTAAAGCTTATAGTGTGACCTTTTTTGGATGCTAAATGAGCAATGTAAGTATAATATTGAATGTGCCAGACTAATTTAGCTATATTCGGAAGAGCACGGAGCTAATTAAAATGGAAAAGAAAAGGGAACTTATCAGAATTTGATGTTTCTGAAATCAATAGTTAATGCTACGACAATCGAAAAATCTTTCTGTTAGAAGCCTCATAAATTCAAAATAATGACGCTCGCAAGCTCCACATGTAAATATTGAATAAGGCATTGATGCTGCAAATATTACTTGGTTTATGACATAGGAAGTTTCTTCTAAATGCGGTAACAAATGTGGATGGCGATACTTTAATGACTTGAATAACTAGTTCCTCTACGGTTAAATTAGAGACTGGCATAATTTAGTTTATTAAGTGAACATTGCTTGTTCATTCCTAACTTCAATCATTTCTTACTCCGAGCATAGTTAAGTTTTTTATGAATTCAACCTTCTCCGCTTAATATAACTGTCCTATATGAACTTGGATTCTTCAACCATGATGTTATGATGCACAACGAAACAAATTCACATGTAAATATCTTGCTTTTCTATATGATTAATCTCATCTTCTGTTTTCCTTTCTTACGCGGCATCTCCTTTGGCTACCAATCTTTATTTCTTCATTTTAAAATCTCATGTTCATTCTTCTGTTTGTCTTTATCTAATATTCTAATTTTTTGTTCGAGAAGATAAAGATAAAGATGTAGATCGAGTTTCTAAATTTGATGTGTGAGACAAAAATCTTTCTTATCTAGGTTGGTTGCGTACATTTTGTTTCTGAAGCGTAACCATAATAATAATTCAATAAATAAAAACCCCACGTTTACTTCATGGATCTGATCAGTGTTGCTCTTCAATTTCGATAAATAATGATGAGAGAAGATAGTTTTTTCCAGTTACATTAAATATAGTGTTCGAATCTTAACGGGTTTCTAACAACTTAGGTAAACACTAATAAATGAATATTGGTATAACAGCGAGACAAAAAAGAGGACGACATTGGGATCAGACAGAAACTTCATTAACTTATGTTAATATATTCCCAGTTGTGCACATAATAATTGAAGCATTTTTCCGTACTATAGTATGGTGGGGAAATTGCTGTTTAATATGCATTATTTTCACAGTCAAGAAGAGCAAGCGGCAAATGGTTCTCCTCAATCAGGGGCTTCTGGTGCTCACAATGCGGAAGCAGACACACAAGCAGGCGATCCATTTTGGATTTCGGATGATGTTCCTGGTAGGTTGTTTATGAGGTCGTATTTCTTGGTAGTGGATTTATAATGATGGATCCAAAAAATTTACTGTATAGTTGATTGCATATAATCCATGTGTGTTCAGTGGATCCAAAAAATTTACTGGACAGTAAAGCTGTATTACCAAGTCAGTTTGTAAAGCCGCCATCAAATCTTGTTGTGCTTGAAGGCGAATGCTTAGATGCTGGTGGTGATGCCGGGGAGTTAGACTCATATCTGGTACTATGCCATTACTTATGATTCTAAACCTTTTGTTTTTTGCGAATATCCTTGGTCAAACAATAATGGTTGATTGAAACATTGCAGTTAGCAACGACTGATCTCTACCGGGAATTTATTCTGCTGGACCCTCGTGATGCTGTTGAAATCGACAAATTTCTTGATTCTAAATCTGGAAAAGGGCCATCATACAAGGGTAGCCTTTTGACACCTAACGGTGGCAAGGTCTTTCAATCACCATCGAGGCACTCTGGACAAAATTCGTCAGCTCGAAAGGAAAAAGATTGTAATTTCAACAAATCACCATCTTTTGGTAAAGGATTCGAAAATAATGGTTGCAGTACAGGGCGTTCTCCACTTGGCTCTGGCTTTCATGCAGATGTAAACGATGGATGTGGATTTCCGGAGGGATTTTCGGGACCTGGAGACATGGATGATGATTCTGATTATGATGATGACGATCCATGGAAACCTTTGGATCCACATGAACCAGGGAATTTGAAAGTGAAACCGTACAAGAAAGGTTGTTAAGGTTTTCTTGTTTTTTGTTCATTTCACAATAGTTATTCCAATTTTAGCAGTTTATATGGCTAAGGCTATTATCTCCGATTCTTTCTCTTACAGCGAAACCTAATAGGAGAGTAGATTTCAATTCAAAGAAACAAGTTTCTTTAGCAGCAGAGTTTCCGGTGGCGAAACTCCATGGACTGATCAGTGCCGAGTTTAATGAAATTTGGGAGGAAAAATTTGGTGCCCTGACTAGACATCAAAAATCACATTCGATGTTTGAGAAGGTTCGTGTCTTTTGGTGAATATTTTTGCGCCTTGGCTTTCTTTTCACACACTAAATTGTCTTTACAGCTGAGGAAATCACTCGTTGAAGGGGAAACAAAAGTTAACGATGCCTTTACCAGTCCAGACATTAATGCTGAAGAAGATGGATATGATAGTGATCAGGGTGGCTTGCCACCAGAATTTGACATTCCGGATAATATATTCGATAATGAAGAAGTGCTTTGCGGGCAAGAAAAGGTTGGGAATAAATATTTAGATATTAATTTTACGCGCGCGTGCACTTATTGGCTTCTTTACAAACTTGTGTAGCATGAAGAAACCAATGCTCAAGAAAATCTTGAAGATCTTTGTAGATCTCACTTGGTAAGTAAAATGATGGATAATTTCATTCGGAAATTTAATCGTGATTTTTGCTGGTTATATCTTTTTGATGTTTTATGGCGTGTGCGACTGCCATTGTAGGATTCTCTTCTTGCGACTCTTACTGAAAGTGAAAAGCAGACTGAATTGGCTACTCGAGTTTCAACATGGAAGCAAAATATCGAGAAAAACTTGGAAGAACAAGTACTAATATAATTACTCTCGTTTACTTTTCCTCGTGTCTGTCCATAATTTGGCGTCTGATGGTAAATATAACTTGTAATGATGGCAGGATGCACGGCCGCCTTTCGATATCCACATATACGGCGAAAAGGTTTTGGAAAAACTATCTTCCGAAGGAGATGATGAGGGGAACAACGAGTTGCCATTCATCGACGTGGTGAAAGGCCAAGAAAAGCACGACGTTGCCAGGACCTTTTCGGCTCTTCTGCAACTGGTAATCTCTCCTCTCCCCATTACCCATTCTAACCCGATTTTCTCACAGGACATGTAGCTCCTAATCAGTCTGACATTAAGGTTGTGTATTAGCTAAGCTTCCAATGCTTGTCTGTAGGTGAACAACGGAGATGTGGATCTAGTTAAAAATAAGACAACATTCGACTCGGAAATGAATCCATTCTCCATTCGATTGGTGAAGAAAAACAACGGCGGGCAGAAGAAGAAGGGAATATGGCTTCAATCGGCGAAAAAGAGAGCTAAGTCGCCGCAATTACTCAGGGAGCCTAAGGCTGCTGTTAATTTATCGAGCTGTAGATTGTCCCAAGATGTCGGAAATGGTAGCAGTGACGGCAGCAGAGTCACCCCGGAGGGGAAGAAGCGACGCAAATCGAAAGCGGTTGCGGTCGCTTCTCCTCCCTTGGGTATGCAGTTTGATTTTGTCGGATGAGGAAACATTCATTCGATCCCTGGTGTATATTTAACCTTTTTACTATGATGGGATGGATGGATCGATCAATCTCTATTGATTGACTGATGTCTGTAGTGTTAAATGTGTTGCTCATTAACTCACATGTTTACTTGTAGTAGTAAAAGATTGTCTTTCTTTTTTTATACTAATGTTAAATTATTAATGTTGTATACAGAGTGATGAGCAAAATGTTACTTTTTCTGTCCCAAGGTTCAATATTTGCTTTTGGCATAAATTTTTAAGTGGATAAGTATGATAATATATAAATTAGATGATACGATGGAGAGAGAATATATATTTTATTTTTTTATTTGGATGATGTGAGGGAATAAATTGTGGGGTAGAGATTAAGTATAATTAATTATTTTCTAATTTGAAAAGGTTTAAGGTATTTGAAAAAAAAAAAAGAAAAAAATATTGCAGCGTGTTTGGGGACGAATAGAGTACAAGATAGTACAATATTCTTTTATAGGATTAGTTTGCTACGTTTCAATAAATAGTTTTCAAATGTTCAATATACTTTGGTATAATTCATATATTTTTAGCCATTTAGATCATTTTCAATCTATCAATTTCATTTATTCAGTTTCACCGCTACATTAATTTTACTCCAATGGTAACTCCAATTTTCACTATTATTTTTGAAATATTCAATTTTTTTTATTATTTTAAACAATTTTTTTTTTTTATAATTTAAAATAAATTTTTTAAAAAAATTAAAAATCACTCTAGCAACTCCGGAAAAAAATGGCATTGAATTTGGCGTCGCCAAATAAGCCAACCCAATGTCATAATAGCGCTGTGTTGGAAATGCTTTTATAGAATATATATATATAGACACAAAATAAAACTAGTATAGTATAAAATATTGATGTTTATTTTTTACTTTTATATAATTTTTAATAAAAATATTTAACTTATAATTTCAATAAAAATATATTATTTCAAAAATTAATTAATTAATTAATTCAATAATATTAAATTTTTTCATTCAATTTATTTTTTATGGCAAGATTATTTGTAAATATTACAAAATATATAATATTTATACTCTATTTACCCACAGATAAAATTTTAATATAAGATATTATTTATTATATTACCAATTCATAATTAATATAAACAAAACACATATGCTTCCACTAGTAGATCTAAATGGCCAATTGAGGATACTTTTGGTTCCATTTACTCTTGCCAATAAGTGTGTATTTTGTTTGGGTAGTGTGCATGTCTAAATAATAATTGAATATAATATTTTGTAAAAATAAATAATTATTTTTTTATAAAAATTATTAAGTAACGAAATTGAAAATATCTAAAAAAAATAGTCTCTCAAAACTCAATTCACCTGCAAAGACAAAGGACAGACAAAGCCAACTGAAGAATACATATATATATATGATTTATTTGAATCACAATTCACAACTCAGAGTCACAATCAAACAGCTCTTGTCCAGTTCAGACACAAACCTAAGCAAATATTAAATATGCAGAAAAACTCAAATCTCAAATGTTCTAACCTCTGCTGCACTTCACTGCCTTACTCGCCTTCCAATATCACATTGAACATCCAACAGCCCTGTTATCCCTGCTTCGATTTTCTGCCCTAACTTGACCGGTCGAACCCCCTCCGGAGTCCCTGCAATGTTTAGTTACAGACATCCTCATTTAAAGCAAACCCATTTTCATCATCCTATCTATGTTCTAACAACAAAGTATAGGAAAACTGACAACAGGATGCAGAGTTGTTCAAAGCCATATTCATTCTGTATCGAGACAAACTTGTCGACGATGATTATACCTGTCAGAATAACATCTCCTTCATCAAGTGTGAAGAAAGAACTGATGTGGCTGATCAGATATGGGATCTTAAAAATCATGTCACTAGTCGATCCTTTTTGTCGCAATTCTCCATCGACCTATACCAGACAATGTATTTATTCAGAAGCAATGGAACAGTATGCAGCATGTTGAAGATGAGTTACTAGTAATACCTTCAACCAAAGTTCGATATTGTGAGGATCTGGGACCATTGATTTGGGTATCTGTGGATTTAGAGTTCAGGTGAGAGAACTTGGAAGATACAAATTGTTGATGCTTCATAAAATTTATAATGCTCTGATTTTTCTGCATATACTTCAAGAGGGGTATGGAAAAATTGCAAAAAATATCCGTACATAAGCTTAGTTATCACTTTTATTTCTTTTAATTGCCACCCAAACAAAATATATGTCACAATTTCGCTATTTCAGTATATTAATCGCGCATGAATTGAATTTCACAGCTTGTCACATTCATGGATTGCTTCCATTAAATGACAAGTGACACAATATTATATAATATAAAATAATATGTACTGGATAATTTTAGCGAAATTGTGACATGTACATGATAATTTTAACAAAATTGTAACATGGTACGTGATTTATTTTGTTAAGGTGTTCATAAAGTGCAAGCCACTGCGACTAGAATAGAAATCCACTCGTGGTCAATGTAATGAATAATGAAATTATAACACATGTAGGATATATTTTAATAGGATGAAAATTAAAAGACAATAGTAATAATTTAGTTAACGTACATGATATTTTTTTGTAATTTTCCCAAAGGGATATATTACAATGTTCAAAATTCAACTGTAATAAACCCCACTAAATGATACTAAAAGTCTTCATATTTTGAAAATACCTAATGCAAGTTGTATTATAATTATTTTAATTTTCACAAGAAGAACTACAATTTATCCTATTTCAAGGTTAGACAGTGGTGAGGAATAATAGGAATAATGAAAGCAATTCATACACTCAACAAAGCCTATCATCAAACATGATAAAAACTGTTTATTGAGTTCTTACAACAGAGCTGATAGGTGTGAAGGTATCTTGGCCTTTAGCTATCGACCATGGAAGACCTGCAGCCTTCGGCACAAAATCAGAAGATAATTAACCAACCAGAATTAAAGAACACACTGAGAAATGACCAATGAAAGCAAAACAAATTTGAAAAAACACAGTACAATAAACCTTTGCAGGCTATGAATTAAATAACACAGGGAATGAACATTTTGGATTTGAATTATCTGCTATGAGTTGTAACAGCACACAAACCTTTGCTGCAGTTTGGATCTCCCTTGCAGTCATGTCCAGGGCAACAGCATAACCTGAAAATGACAATTAAGGCACAGGATTTTATTAAGCTACCTAGATGATGAGATATATGGCTTGCAATCGAACTGTTGCTTAATGTATGTGTTAAGAAGGAATCCAGAATTCCAACTTAAAACCAATTAGTATTAAGTGGAGTGCCCTTCAATCTTAGATGATAATCTCAAAATCCTAATCCCGGCCAATGGCTTCTAATCCTATGATAAGAAGGGATCCGAAAATCCAATTTAAAAACGAATTCTAATCAAAATCAATACCTAATACGAGCACCATTATTCTGATACCATGTTGAGAAGAAAATGTGGTTTAGGTTCAAACTTCGGATCTCTTATTAAGGTGCTCGTGTTGGGTATTGATCCTAGTTAAAATTTTGAGATTATCATCTATGGGTGAAGGCTCCACTTAATACATTTTAAGTTGGAACACCAATCCCTTATGGTGCCCACATTGGGTGTTTACTTTGTTTGAATTTCGAAATGATATCATGAAGTCACATTGAAATTAAAGGTGAAGGGCTGTTAATCATACAAACAGAAACACAAAATAGCCTTGTTTCTAAATCATCCTGCTCCTCTGTTCTGCCTCATTTGATTTTTGTTATTAGTTTTTTCCTTTTGTCATCATCAAGGTTTCTTCTAATTAACCATTATTCCTATCACTGGCAATCCGGAAAACAGCTCCTAATTCCTATATTGCAGCGAATCGTGGCTAAATTTCAATTGAATGAACAGAAATGTCAAATAGGCAATCACATTATTCGATTCCGAAACGAATTTGCGATGTATAGAGATATTTAGGTAGAAATGAAAGTGTAATTCCTACCTCCTACGTAATCCATGGCCTTAGCTTCAGGAACGTCGCGAGCGCGTTGACCAATCACCACCGCAAGCTCAACCTCCGGATCCAGCGTCTCCAACGGCTCCGGCACCTCAACCGTACCGCCGCTCTCCAAATACGACGAAGTTGGCTTCATAAATATCACTGGTTCCTTAAAAACGGGGGTAAACATCAAATCAAGTCAAAATCGAGACAATCCAAAGAAGACCTCCAAAACAAATTCAAAAGAAGGACTGAATGAATACTTTAGGCAACGGATTTCCGAGCTCTTTCGCATGCGCGGCATAGTTGCGTCCGACGCCGATAATTTTGGTGCCGACGGCGAGAAGCTTCTGGTAGGATGCCGCGGAAGCAGCCATTCTCGGCAGCCTAGAGTAGTTTTGAGAAAAATTATTGCTCGGTGACGGCAGCGAGTGTGAGAGAATTGGAGCACAGATTTCAATTGCCATCGCTAGATGCATAGATATAGTGGAAAGCTTAACTGCGCCACTTTACTAGACTCGTGCTTCAACCTTATTATTATTGGGGAAAAAATAAAATAATAATAATAATAATAATAGTAATCTCACTGCAGCAAAAATAATTAATTTTAGTTTTATTATTAAAAATATATATTATTTTTGTTTCATTATAAAAAAAATTTAATTATTTTTTTTTTTATCTCACTACGGCGGCAAGGCGACGGCGTGTTTCACCGGGTGACGGGGCCGAAAGTTGGGTGGAGTCAGAGAAAAAATATTACTCCCTCCTCCATCTTCACATTTTAATTTTTGTAGGTCAATATAATTTGTTATTTTTTTAAAAATATAATTAAATATTTAATCACATTTTAAAATTAGTAAATTTTAATATTTTTAATTAAAATTCTTTTATCTAATCTTAATTTATAATTATTTTTATTAAATTATAATTATTTATTTACTAATACATTTATTAATTACTTACTAATTAAACAAAACAATACCTAATTTTATCTTTTTTTTATTTCTTTTTTTTTTTTAATAAAAGTAAGAATGTAGTGGTAAAATAAAGTTATTTGTAAAAAAAAAGTCCATAGTTATTGAAAAAAATAATTATTTTATAATTGATAATTCCAAAATAAAATACATATTTTGTGAGTGAATGAAAAAAATATTATCGGTGAAAATAAGCAGTGCAACTGATGGAGTGATTGGTAAAAAAAACATTATAAGTTGTGTTCTTTTGTGAATTTAAGAAAGATTTTTACTATTCAGATTTTAAAATATTAAATTAAACAATTATTTTTTTATATTATATTATAAATTTATTTTATATTTAAAATATCAAATAAATATATATTTATATCACATAAAACAAAATATTTTTAGGTGACTCACAAGAGAGAGATCTCATAATATTGGTGGGTCGGGAGCATAAAATGTAAATTCGAAAATAATCTCCAATCCTTCGATTAAGTACAATCATTATTTTTATTTTAGAATGATTTTTTTTAAAAAAAAAAATAAAAATTTAAAGAAACCATTCATAGTCAAATTATCATGATCACGAGAACTTTTAAATTTGTGGAAAATGACAAAAGAAAAATACATATTTTTAATGTGCAATTGGGTACTGTATTTGGAGAATCAATGCTTCAAATATAATCGACCAATCAACATTTTAACACGTGCAATCACCAAAATCATTTATTATTCAGTTAAAAAATAATTATTATATAAATATATAACAAAGAAAATATACAAATATATATATACATTAATATATATTTTATTTACTTAAAAATTAATATTTTAATATAAAATATTATTTTTTATATTATGAATATGATTTTTTTTAATAAAAAATTAATTCAAAAATAGTAAATAAACAAAGGCTCCGTTCCTCCGGCATTTATAGATGAAATGATTTTGATGTAAAGTATGATACATTGTGTTAAAATATAATTCCGCCCCGCATATCGTGTGTGTCTGCTATAATGTAGAAACGGTATTTTAGAAGGGGTGTAATTAGTAGATAATTAAAAATATATTAGTGAAAATAATTATCCTATAATATAAATAATTATAAATTAAGATTAAGATAATTGATTAGTTTAATTAAAATTAAAAAAAATAGATTAAAGTGTATAATCATTTTCCAAAAAAGAAAAGTGACATGGTACGTGGGACGGACAGAAACAGCAACTTTGATATAATATGTGGGACAGATGGAGTACTATTTTAGGTTAAATTTTGACTTTTTGTAATGATTTTTTTACGAGTATTTGAAAAAATGTTAAATTTTTTTATTTGTGTATAAAATATTTTGTGTTTATTATAAAATTGTGTGAAAAAACATAGAAAAAATTTTGTTGTAAAGAAAAAAAATAAAAAAATTGCTAATATTTAGTGGATGAGCTGCTCCTATGGGTAACGAACAAAATATTTAATTCAATTATTTAACACAATCAATAGTAACCAATTATTTCACCAGATAGCTGTACTACCACGTATTTTTTTGGTAGTATAGGCCAGCTGCTGCCAACTTCCCCTCATTTGTATATTGCGTTTGCTTTAAATTATCAAAGGGTGTGTTCGTCTGGGTGAATGGATTTTAAGTTGGAATTTGAATAGTAAAAATTTTGAATTTGAATAGTTGTATGATGTGATATAAATAAGTATCGGTGTGATGTTTTGAATGTAAAATTGATTTCTAGTATAATATAAAAAATAAAAAATAGGTGTTTGATTTGATGTTTTTGGGGGAAAAAATTGGGATGAATAGTGGAAATCTAATCCAATCCCCCAAACAAACACACCCAAAGGGTATATTCAATTTAGATTTTATAGAATTTTGACACATTTTTAAAATCTGTATATTCAATTGAAACTTTTAAAATCTTGAGATATTTTAAATATTTTTTAAAATTTGAAGGTATTCAATTCAGATTTTTAAAAATATTTTAAAATTGAGAGATATTCAACAATTATATTAACAAATAAACAAACAACATACAATATATAAATACACATTATTGATATTTCTTTCCGATAAAATATTCCCAAATTATTATATATACAAGAATTTAGAAAAATTATAATTAATAAATAATTACGAAGTATATTAGTAAAAGTAATTACACTATAATATATAATTATTAAATTAATAATTAAAATAATTAAATAATTAAATTAAAATTAAAAAATATAAATATTTTAAAATTTTAAAAATAATTAATTTTTTTATTTATTAAAAGAAAAACAAATAATATGAATAAACCAAAATAAAAATACTGAAATATATGACAGAAGAAACAATACTACATGTTATCATTGATCTTCTAGTATACTCCTATATATTAGTTCAATATATATCAATATATATAATTTATATTAATATAATACTTTCTTCTTGACAATCTATTCATTCTTTTATATTGGTCCGTCCCACAATAAAATATCAATTTATTTTTTTTGTAACTGTATTTTCTACTAACATTAAAAATATTCTTAGAACTTATAATATATTAAACAAATGATATTATTTTTATATCACACAATATAATATTATTTTAATCTTTTTTTATTTTATTCATATCAAATTTAAATATAATATTAATATTTTTAAAACTCCGTGTACAAAACAAACAAATACACGTCGAGGGCGGAGGGAGTATAATAAATTATTGAGTATAAACTGACTATATACATCAATAATGTATACAAATATGTCATTATTGATCTCATGCTATGTTATGGGTTTGTTTGTTTACTGTTTTGATTTGATTTGATTTATTTATTTTTTTTATTCTTTTTTATATATATATATATATGTAAGGTATAAGAATTGTGGTTGTAATATAAAAAATATTCTCGAAGTTATTTTCATTTTTTTTAGTTTGTCTATTAAATTTATTTTATTAATAATTTTAACAAAATCGATAAATCAATATTTAATTATTATCATTAATTTAATATTTATTTATAACAAATACCACTAATGTTATTATATTCTATCTCTTTATTTACTTTAATTTTTAACTAAAATTTCAAAAATACTCTCCGTTGTCTTTTTTATTTTACTATTTCTTTTAATAAAATATTTATTTTTCTTAATATTCCCGGACTCAATTAGGTTAATTTTAATGGATGAAAAGAGTAATATTTTATGTTAAATATTAACTTTTGTGAAGAAATAAGTTCTTTCAATTTTTTTTTTCTATACGATTTTTCAAAAAAATTAATACACTACTCATATTTATTATTTTTATATTCTTTACACAATTTTCTACAATTCAAACAAAAAAAAAATTATTTTCAATAATCTCATGAAACAAACATATATATATATATATATATATTGAAAATCATATTATAAAACTATAGATGGGCAACATATTATCACAACTCAATAGTATATTACTCTAATGATACACATTTATTTCAACAACTATACTCTCTACATATAATATAATACTCATTTAGCCCATAACCACTTATTTACAAGTAATAATATTTCTATTCAAGGGTGCGTTTGTTTGAGGAATTTTACTCCAACTTTACTATTTATTTAATTTTCTCTCTTCTAAAACATCAAATCAAATATTTATTTTTTATTTTTTATATTCAAAATATTACATCAACACTTATTCATGTCACATCATATAACTATTTCAATTTAAAATTTTTACTATTTAAATCTCAACTCAAAATCGAAATCCCAAATAAAATACTAATACTAATTTTGATTCTTTTTATCATGTAGGAGTACACATGTTTGTGTTTGTTTTATATTTTGAGTTTGGTGTTTTTTTTTTTTTTTTGTTCGTATAAAAATTTATTGATAATATAAAAAATAATATTTTATATTAAATTATTATTATTTTTTAATGGACAATGGTATTATATTTTGTGTAAATATAGATATGTATTGTATTTTTATATAATATTATTCAAAAAATATATTAATTTTTTTTTGTTGGATGAACAAACTCATACATTTTGGCTTACTTTTTATTCTTTTGTTGTGAATTATATATATATATATATTGTTAAATGTTTTTATCAAAAGTGTATTTATTTAGTATTTTAATTTAAAATATATATATTTTTATTTGAGATATAATGGGTGTGTTTTTTAAACTAAAATCTTTTGATTTTTTTTTCAAAAAATTAATATATTACATACACTCTATACCTCACGTAAACCTTCGGGCAATAGAAGTTTAGAAAAATTATAAATTAAGTTGTATTGATATGTATGAAAAGATATATATATATATATATATGTATATCACACATATACACTTAAACATTAAATATATTTTATTGAAATATTTTTTTTCTTAATTGATATTTTAAATTTAATTTTAGTTTTTCAAAAAAGACACATCAATGGGTATGCTTGATTTTGATTTAAAATAAAAATTAATATTACTCAATTTAGATAATTTTTAATAAAAACTATACTCCGTTCCATCAAGAATTATATATTTATTTCGGATAGCGGCTAAAAATTATATATTTATTTTTGATAAAAAAAGAATTATATTTTATTTGAATTGGAAACCTGTTTTAATTTTTATATTATCATATTAATTAATTTTGACTTAAAAATATTTTGAGAAAAATACAAATGAGTTAACAAAATTAGATTTTATTTATTTATTTATTTTTATAATGTGGGAATCTGCATCTGCTATTCATCAGGTGCGTCTCTTGTTAAACTTCGATCGAGTCTAATACTATACAAATTAAGTTCCACAAGACAAATCATAGTAGACTAACTATACGTGGCAGATAAAATCTGAAAATGTCGAAATTTGAACCTATGACTTTATGGTCACGAGTACATCTCCACCCATATTAGAAGTTTTTTTTTTTTTTTTTTTTAAAAAAAATCATATGTAAGTATTTATGATATTTTTATAAATTAGCTTGAAATATAAATTTAAAAATGTGTAGAAATTATTTATTATAAATTAAAATATACTACAACTATGAAGAAAGTATATTTTTATGGAAAAAAAAATGTAAATTTAATGGATTTAGTTTTATCTTTTTTTTTTTTAAATAATCTTATAATAAAATATTGTTTAAATTTAAACTGAAATATAAAACTCAAATCAAAATAAAAAGAATCGAACCGATCCTAAAGCATGCGAACTTGTTTTATTTGGTAAGAAAATTATGCCAAATTGAATATATGCAAACAAATCTATAGGTCCGTTCTTTCACTTATTTATTTTCACATATTTTTCTTAAAAAAATTAATATTTCCTTCGTCCATATCATATTTTATTATATTAACACTAAAAATATTTTTATATTTGTATATTTTTTTTTACAAATATTATTTTATAAGATACTAAAGTATTTTTGTAATTTTTTCGTACTATATTTAATATAATAATTAATATTACGTAAAAAGTAAATATGACTCTTAAAATTAAACGAATATACTCCCTCCGTCCCTCCTTTTCATGACAAAGTATCTATTTTTTCATTCTCATGACAAAGTATTCATTTATTAATTTTTTTTTAGTAATTGTACTATCTACCTAACATCACGTTACAAATACCCTTACAACTTATAATATATTTCACAAATACCATTACTTTATATCACATATTATAATAAGATTATTTTAGTTATTTTTATTTTATTCTTACTATATCCCAATATAATATTAGTATTTCTAAAATTACTTGTAAAAAACAAATAAATATTTAATTATAAAACAAAAAAAATAATATATTATATATATTCATTATTTTTATATTATTTAGCTAATTCCATATAATTCACATAAAATTTTTTTATTTTCAATAATCTTACATAAAAAAAACACACCCAAATAAATTGCAAAACAAATAAAAAAATAATAAAAATAAAAAAATAGAATGGATATGGCGGCGAGATAACTCTCAGTCCCGCACTCCAACGTCTCGGTGGTGTGGGGGTGCCAACGGCACGTACTCCTTGTTTTCTTCGTCGTCTTTATTACAACGCCGCAAATACACGTCTCTGATCTTCTTCATCCTTCATTTTCCCCTTGACCTCCACTCTATACCAAACTCCACAACTACCTACTTCAGATGGCCGGCACAACTACCCTTGATGTCGGGGCTGATGGAGTTGCCCTTATCACCATCATCAATCCTCCGGTTAATTCTCTTTCGTTTGATGGTAATCATCTTCATTTTCCACCTTTCTGTCTATTGCTTATGTTCGTTACTGATTTTGTAATCGATGGGTTCGTTTGTATGCTGATACTTGCATTTTTGTTGGCTACTCTCGAATCTCGATTGTTAATTGCCTGTAGAAGTCTGCGCTTCGTTATGCAATTTTTAGTGGAGATCTGTCTGTAATTCGTGTGTATTGCGAAGTGATTTCCCTCAAAACGCCGAGATCTGTTTTGAGAGCGATTCAATTTGTGATTGATATTAGCCTTCGAGTATACGAATGACATTTACTCAGATAGATCATTGATTTAGGCCGAAAAGGAGTATTTGTTATCAGTTGGTGTAGCATTTGGGATGGCATTTGGTGGTGATTAATTTTGTGTTCTAAGCAAAACTTTGATCCCTACTTTTCCATCTTTAGTTCTGTACAGCTTAAAAGATAACTGTGAACTGGCCTTGAGAAGGGACGATGTGAAGGCTGTTGTTATCACAGGTATGAAATAGATGAACTGATATTTGGCACTGAAGTAGAGGATGTTTGATGTAAGGGATACCATTTTTGTTTTTGAGCAGGTGCAAAAGGAAAGTTCTCTGGTGGTTTTGATATTAGTGCATTTGAGAAGATTCAAAATAAAACTGGTATGTCACATTTTGTTTCTTTTGTTTTTTATTTTTTATTTTTTTAAGAATTGCATTTGAGCTTTTACTTTATTTGGTCACAGTCCAAGCACCAAGGCCTGGTTTTGTATCTTTGGAGATTCTTAGTGATGTTGTGTCTGGTATGTTAATTAAATTGTCTTCACTTTTCAGAACCTGGAGCTATTTTTCCCTAAACTTTGATTATATAATTGGTTTGTTTGCTTTTCTCATTTGCAGCTGCAAAAAAGCCATTTGTGGCTGCTGTTGATGGACTTGCCTTGGGGGGTGGTCTCGAAGTGGCAATGGTAAGTTTAAAAATTACAACTTATGTTTCAATTCTATGTACAGCTATCTTGATCGGAAAATGAGACTCTGTGTGTGTCTTGCTTCAGGGCTGTCATGCTCGTATATCAACACCCCATGCTCAGTTAGGACTACCTGAACTGCAGCTTGGTGTTATCCCTGGATTTGGAGGTACGTTATGACTTATGAACCACATCTTGGTATGCTGTTTTGTATCTTCTCTGAATCTATTCTGCCGTTAATGAAGAATGCCTTGAAATTTGATCTATGGATTCTGTTGTTATGCTTTCCCTGCTGTGTAAATGAACTAGTTGTGCCAACAAGTTATTAGAATTCTTGTGAGATTGCTGTATGCATTTATTTTATTTGGTAGCTTGTAATATGATGGTTGTGAATACTTAATTGTTTCAGGCACGCAAGCACTTCCTCGCCTTGTAGGTATTGCTAAGGCCCTTGAAATGATACTGGTAAGCACTGAAATAAACTGAAGTTAAATAGTATTTCCACTGTATGGGGCTTCGGTTTTCAACATTTATTCTTTCTTTTTTTCTTGCGTAGACATCGAAGCCTGTGAAAGGGGAGGAAGCCTTGAGTTTAGGCCTTGTGGATGCTCTTGCTTCACCTACTGAACTCATAAATACAGCCCGTCAATGGGCTCTCGATATTTGGGCACACAAAAGGCCTTGGGTTGTCAGTTATTACAGGACTGATAAGTTAGAACCTTTAGGCGAGGCAAGGGAAATACTCAATTTTGCTCGAGCCCAAACACGCAAGCGGGCACCAAACATGACCCATCCTATAGTCTGCATTGATGTCATTGAAGCAGGTGTTGTTTCGGGTGGTCGTGCTGGGCTTTTGAAGGTTTTGTATCTGTTTCATTTCTTGGTTCCTTGAATTTATTTGGTAATGCTATCTTCTGATGAGTTGAGTATTAATTTGTCAGGAAGCTGAGGCATTTGCTGCGCTCGTTGAATCAGATACTTGCAAGAGCTTGGTTCATGTTTTCTTTTCCCAGCGTGCTACAACCAAGGTTGAGTGGGCTTTTTTATTCGTTCGGTATTAGTTTATGTAATATTTAAAGAGAAATTGTCTGTGTGGATTAATTATAAAATAGTACTAATTTAAATGATTGTTCTACTATTTCTTTTGAGCTGTCTCTGAATACCCTGTGCCCATCTTTGTGTTCTTTTGAGATTATTTTTGGAATCTTCATTAGAATTAATGGCTGAATTATTATGTAAATAAGAAAGCACGTGTTTCTTTTAAATTATTTTGCATATATTGTCTAGCAATGAGAAGGTAATCAATCATCTGAAATATGATACAGCAATAATCTCCCTACTTCAATTGTGTATTACTTTTAGGTAGCCTACTTCTTGCATGAATTAATCCAGTAGCATTCTTCTGACAATTGATTGCTCGATTCAATCCACCTCAGGCTTATTGCATCACTGTTGACAACTTAAGTTGTCGGTGAAGCCTATGCCTTTTAATGTAAATATACCTGTATTTTCTTTGATGTGTGACTGCTTTATAATTTTTCAGCCTAAGACAATGGATTTACTTGCCTTTATCTTGATCTATGGATAGGTACCTGGGGTCACTGATCTAGGATTGAAACCAAGGAAGGTAAAGAAGGTTGCTATACTTGGCGGAGGTCTGATGGGCTCCGGAATCGCTACAGCTCTTATTCTTTCCAATTACCCGGTTATCCTAAAAGAAGTAAATGAAAAATTCTTGCAAGGCGGGATTGACAGAGTGAAAGGTGTGATCAGCTCAGCTTCTTGAACCCATTTCTACTGTACTAACAATTATGACATTTTTTTCTCTTTCTGACTGGTATTTGTCCTCTTCAGCTAATTTGCAAAGCCGTGTTAAGAAAGGAAAAATGAGTCAAGAGAAGTTCGAAAAAACTTTCTCATTACTCAAAGGTGTTCTTGACTATGAAAGCTTTCGGGATGTGGACTTGGTTATTGAGGTGCAGTGGAGCTGATTTATTTATTCTAAACTTTCCTTATCTGAAGAAGTATTTTCAACAATTTTGTTGTTCCTGATATATGTAAATAGGCTGTTATCGAGAATGTCTCTCTGAAGCAGCAAATATTCTCTGATCTCGAAAAATTCTGTCCTTCACATTGCATACTCGCAACCAACACTTCTACTATCGATCTAAACTTGATTGGAGAAAAAACAAGGTCTCAGGATCGCATCATTGGAGCTCATTTTTTCAGGTAAAATCATCCTGTGACACTACCAATTTCATATCTGTTCATACTCAAGTGCTTATAAACCTTACTTCTCAATTACTGCAGTCCAGCTCATGTGATGCCGCTTCTAGAAATTGTTCGCACGCAAAAGACATCTGCTCAAGCAATTATTGACTTACTAGACCTTGGAAAGAAAATCAAGAAGACACCCGTTGTGGTTGGAAATTGCACTGGTTTTGCAGTCAATAGAATGTTCTTTCCCTACACTCAATCTGCTCATATACTTGTGGAACGTGGAGTGGATCTCTATAAGGTCGATAGGGCAGTAACAAAGTTTGGCATGCCCATGGGACCCTTCAGGTGCCAAATAAATATGCAATAGATTGTTGTCCTCTGGCCTGCTTAGTGAACGATTTAATTCTAAGCATCATGATTTGTTTTACTTGCCCTTAGGTTGTGCGATCTTGTCGGATTCGGTGTTGCAGTTGCTACGGGTGGGCAATATCTCGTGAATTTTCCGGAGAGAACTCACAAGTCATTGCTGATACCAATTATGCAAGAGGATAATAGACAAGGTGAGATTTCTTCATTTTTAGGTTGAGAAGAAATAAACCATTTTTCTTGCAGAAGTTAGATTTTAACAATTTATTCAAACTTTGTCTAGTTTTATATTTCACTGTGTTTGAAATTTACGAACTAACATTATTGAAATAAAAGATGTTTGTCTGACATTTGTTATTGTAACTGTGACTTCCTATAGGTGAAAGTACTCGCCGAGGCTTCTATATATATGACGAGAAGCGCAAGGCAAGCCCTGATCCAGAAATCAAGAAATACATTGATAAGGCTAGAGAGATTTCGGGCATGACTATTGATCCCAAGGTTTTAATTCTTACCTCACATCACAATTAGGGATAAATCTATACATATCTTCATCTCATGACCTGATCAAACTCTCTACACAGTTTACTAAAATGACGGATAAAGACATTGTTGAGATGATATTCTTCCCTGTGGTGAATGAAGCCTGTCGGGTACTTGCTGAAGGCATTGCCGTCAAAGCTTCCGATCTAGACATATCTGCAGTCATGGGAATGGGATTCCCTCCTTACAGGTTTGAAAAATGTTTATTTCCCGAACAGAATGTAACTTTTCTTTTCCTCGCGTCATTTTTTCGTAATTTTCAAGCAGAGGGGGTGTCATGTTTTGGGCCGACTCAATCGGGTCAAAATACATCTACTCACGTCTGGAGGAGTGGTCGAAATCCTACGGTGGTGTCTTCAAGCCTTGCTCTTATTTAGCTGAACGCGCTGCAAGGGGGGCTCCCTTGGTGAGTTATTATTTTACATCTCGAATCAGTTTGCGGCGACATCCATCTTCACACTAATGCTTATGTTTATGTACATTTGTAGAGCTCGACTATGGATACTGCCAAGGCGCGATTGTAAGCCCCTCTGGCGCGCGATCGGGTGCTCAGGCAATGATTATAATGGGAGTAAGAACAGAATAAGTAGTAGTGAATGCTATTTGAATAGAGGAATTAATGAATAAAATGGTCCAGCCATTGTTATGCAGTGCGTTGTTACTTGTTACTACTTGGCAAGTTGGCATGAATATGTATGCTTTACAGTGGATCTACAAAACGAGTGTTACTGTCTTAAATCCAATTTAGTCTGCCATATTTATTTTCCAGATTAATTTTATTATTATTATTTGGTGTGGTAGATGAGATAAAGTAGCATTGGGTGTTTTTTTGTTTGGATATGGCGTTTTGGGTTAACTTTTTGGTCGAACCTAATAGTTTGTAAGCTTCTTGCAAGATAATTCATACTATAGGCGAATTATATGTGGTAGAAAAGACCCGAAGATGTGGGGGAATGTAATAATCCATCTGTTCAATTTATAAGTAAATATTTACTTTTGGTGCGGAGTTAAAAGTAATGAATTAAGGATATTTATGAAAAAAGAAAGAAGAGGTATTTGATGAAATAAATATTTTGTAATTAGATATTCAAAATAAAAATATTTATATTTTGAGTTGACAGAAGGAGTATATATTTAATTTAAAACATATTAAATATTTTAAAAATTATATTTTAATTTGTCTAATACGATTTATTTAACAAGTGTTTCTTCTAAGTCATGTTGTCTCCAAAGAAGGAATAAAAATCGATAGATCGAAAACATAGGCTATCAAGAACCGACATATCTTGAGTAGCATTTACGACATTTGCACTTTTACGGATGTTTTGTTTTATTCGTAATTTTGGAATGACATTGGGTGGCAATATTCTACGTACAATAAAGAGTTCTACTCTATCGTTCATCGGTAGGATGGATACTTTAGAAGTAATCAATCGTGTATTCCTTTGAACTCGATTCAAAGATTTCATTACATTGGAGGTGGCCTCTCATTAAATAGGTTGTATTGTTATTATTTTTATTAACATATTTTAAATTATTACTATCATTAACTTATTAAACTCCAAGTTATCATCACTGCGAAACATTGTGAATCACTATCTTCACAAAATACAAACTATTGATACCATCATCCATAAGATAAACAACTATGAAATGTATAGAGATTTAGCATTTCATGATATTTGAATTATATAGAGAGTGAAACCAACATCAACATTTTATTTATTTTTATAAAACCTAAATTTCTCAAAATTTTAGCGTAACATGCTAGTCAAGTTTTGTTTTTGGGACTTGCTTGATTTCTTAACGTGAATCTACTTGATTTATTTTATCTAAAAATTAAATTTATCCTGATACTTTATACTCAAGATAAATTTCACTACCTTTTCTCTGTCGTGATTCTTTTTTTTTTTTTTGTGCTCAAAATGGCATCGAACTTATAATTTGGTTTGATTGATTTATTTATTTATTTTTATGTAATACTAACTTTCATGATTGTAGCTGCATTATATGAATTCAAACTTTATTCTATAAACAACAACTTCTACATATCTTTCTAATATCCATAATTTTTCGTTTGTTGATTCTACTTCCATCACATCATGATATCATATGCAATTTTCCAGGAAAGAGACAATTGGATTGCGATTGTAGCTTTTCTATAGTATACTCCTTCCGTTTCGACTGAATGTATATTTTTATCATTTTAGTTTATCCATTTAGAAGTATCACTTTTTTATTATTACAGTAAAAATGATTATACAATAATACTAAAATATTTTAGCTCTTATATAAATTATAAATATATTATTGCAAATACAATTAATTTATACATAAAGTATATCAAAATCATCTTATATACTTAAATAAATTAATAAAATACTATTATTTTTTAATTTACCGAGACAATCCAAAATATGCTTTGGATGGGGATGGAGGAAATATATTCATATATATATATATATATATATATTTAAGACATGCGAACTTAGAATCGTTACTCTTGGATCAAGTGCGCTCCGATAAGCACCGCCAAATTCAATAGTATGCAAACTAGGTTTTATACAAACTAGGTTTGATAAGACAAGTCACATTAGGCGAATCAGTTTATCCCCCAAAGGTTAATGCAAAATTTTCTCTGATAGATATTATTTAATTTTGCATAATCCCGAAACATTGGGGTGTGTTCTTTTAAAAAAAAAACACACACACCTTTTTTTTCAAAAAAAATTAATATATCATACATATTTATTATTTTTATATTATTTACACAGTTTCTCATACTTTACATTAAAAAATTATCCTTTAAATTATTTCACAAAACAAACCCGCTTGATTTTTACAATAAGATATTTGGATTTGTTCATCTTGTTCAATCAATCTTTGATAACAAATTTCATAAGTAGATAAATAAATAAATTAGAGGACATTTTTATTATAAATAATCTTAATATGTTTGTTGTTAGTCGTTCGATGGACCGGTGATTAAAAAATAATTGAGAAACTAAAAAAAAAAATATTGAATCAAACTAATTATAACAAATTATCATAAAATTTAAACCGAAAGAAATCAAATAAATTTCAAAATAGATTTGGATAATAGGATTTAAAAACTATTATTGGAAATCTATATTTTTATATTTTATACATTTAAAATAGTATTATAAATTCTATTATGATAATAATATCTTATTCTCATTGCATTTAAGATAGTCAAACAATTATTTTCCACCTATAAATATTTTTAAATTCTTTTGTTAATTTTCTAGATATACAAAATCTATGCTTACAATCTTTGATAGATTTATATAATATGATATATACAAAAGATTGAATGACTTTTTCAAGGACCATAAATATTATTTACTTTTATATTAATTTAAAATAAAAAAAATAATTAAAGATGATTTTCATGTCTCAATATTTTGCCTATATATACTAACATCAATAAGCATTATATTTCATCATTTCTAAAAATATTTCATAAAATACTTGAAATATGAAGAGTGGAATGACATTTTTTTTCCTCTTATGTTTACTTGTGTTTGTTAGAGGTTGTTATATTCTCTTTTTGCTCCAAAATTGTTTGATTAGGAATTGCAAAATATCATCCATATTATTGTTTTTGTCTTAAAATTTTAACATATATTTTGATTTGATATTTTGATTAATGTGAAATGATGATGATTTAAACATTTTCCCCAATTTTATTTATTTATTTTCGATGAAAGTAAAAATCTACTTAAAAAAAAAATAATAGTAATTAGTTTTCTATTTTAGAACGAAATTTCAACATTATTTTATATTTGTCTGTCATATATAGTTTGCATAGGGTGAATTGTATCGTCCGACTAATTTTCAGACTACTAAACTAGGTCAAAAATTTAGTCAAAATGCATTTGAAAAGCCGTAGGTTCTCACGCCATTACAAAAAAAAAAAATGATAATGTAGCAATAAATTAATGTTGGATTAAACAATTTCTACCTATTTTATTTATTCATGGTATTGTTTGCTATGTATATAATTTGATAAATTTATACTGACAATTTCTTGTAGGCACCGAGCATGAGATCAAAGCTAAAGTTTGCAAGAAGGAATTTACTTTGTCGAATCCGGATTGCGATATACCAAATTGTAATCAACTCTGTTTGCAAAATATAAAAGCACAAGGCATTCAAGGTCGATGCATTTTAAGTGATACATGTGAATGTATTTATCGATGTAGCTGAGATATTTTAAATTTGTAACAATAAACTCTTAAGAAGATCATTTATTCCTAGCTGTAATAGCATTAAATAATAATAATAAATAATCATAATTCTATTTTACTATGTTATCTATTAATCAATTATTATCATTGTTATTGTTTATTTATTTATATTGTTACTGTTGTTGTTTCAAAATATTATGGACATATCAGTTGATTAGAATCACATAAGTAAAAAATAAAAATAATTGGTGTGTTCACCAAATAATTTTTTAGGTAGTACTTTCTCAGTCCCGCTCAATTATGTTACATTTTATTTTTTAGCTGTCCCATTCAATGCCATTTTCTAAAAAAAGTAATAATTAACAAATTTTAATCACAATTAAATCTTAACTAATTCAAATTAATTTATTTAGCTTTTTACTCACAATTATTTCAAGAATTTATTTTTAATTACATTTAATTAAAATTGATAAAAATAAACATGACCAAAAAATCCAAAAATTCAACTCGGATATAATATAAAAAATCGGACTTCGACCGAATGATAGTTGAAATTTTTTTTAAGACAAAGCTAATTTAAATTTTAATACAATATTTTTTTTATAAAAAAGATTCAATAATTAATAAAATTTGACGATGTACTTGGTTTGATATTTAGATTTTGAATTTGCACAAATAATAAAATATTTTAAGTTGAATAAGTTTTGATTTAATATAAATATGTATTAATATAGAGTATATAATTTAAAATTAATTTAAAAATTGATAAATAGACTCTAACGTGGTGTGTTTGGTTAGTGTTTGAATTTTGAATAATAATCTTTTTTAATTTACATAGATTGTTTGATATAATATAAATATATAATGGAGAGATATTTTGATTGTAAAATTAATTTTAAATATAATATAAAAATAAAAAATAAGAGTTTAATTTAATATTTTTAGAAGGAAAATAATGGTGAATAAAATCTAATAGTAGTATATTTAATTTGTTGGAGGTTTAGATTTTGGTTTTAAATTTTGATTAGTAAAATTTTTTAATTCGTTGGCTGAACTTTTCGGTCGAACCTAATAGTTTGTAAGCTTTGGGTAAATTTTACGGTCGAACTTAATAGTCTGCAAACTAAGTCTTACAAGATAATTCATACTAAACGAACTATATGTGGTAGAAAAGACCTGAAGACGTGGATGTTTGAATTCATGACCTTTGCCCCACACTATCAAGTCATTTCTTATGAGATCTAAAGGTTTTGAATTTATGAACTCACGGTTATTGTTTATTTCCCGCATCACTTCTTAGTATTTTTACATCTACATGTGGTGCTTTGGTTGTTGGTTCTTTAGTTGAATAGATGTTTGATGGCTGAGTTGTAAACATGCATGTAACACTTCATATGTTTAATTTATAAGTAAATATTTGCTTTTGGTGTGGAGTTAAAAGTAATGTAAATATATTTTTGTTTTTACTTTTTGGTGTAAAAGTAATGAAATAAGAATATTTATAAAGAAAAATGAGGTATTTGATGAAATAAGTATTTTGTAATTAGATATTCAAATAAAAATATGTATTTTGTGAGTTGATAGGAGTAGTATTTATTTAATTTAAAATATATTAAATATTTTGAAAATTACATTTTAATTTGTCTAGTATAACTTACTTAATAAGTGTTTCTTCTAAGTCATGTTGTCTCCAAAGAAGGAATAAAAATGGATAGATCGACAGTAGAGGCTATCAAGAACTGGCATATCTTGAGTAGCATCTACGACATTTGCACTTTTATGGTCTACTATTATTTTACTGATGTTCTGTTTTATTCGTAATTCTGGCAGCATCATTGCACTATTACAAAGTGCCTAAAAGGGTAATGGAGTGACATTGGGTGGCAATATTCTACGTACAATAAAAAGTTCTACTCTATCGTTCGTTGGTAGGATGGATACTTTAGAAGTAATCAATCGTGTATTCCTTTGAACTCGATTCAAAGATTTCATTACATTGGAGGTGGCCTCTCGTTAAATAGGTTGTATTGTTATTATTTTTATAACATATTTTTAATTAATTAATTCATTAATTATTACTATCATTAACTTATTAAACTCCAAGTTATTATCACCGCGGAACATGTGAATTTCACAAAATACAAACAAACTATTGATACCACTAATCATCCATAAGATAAACAACTATGGAATCCATAGAGGCTTAGCATTTTATGAAATTTGAATTAGATAGAAAGTGAAACAAACATCCATATTTTACTTATTCTTATAAAACCTAAATTTCTCACAATTTTAGCAAAACATACTACCAAGTTTTTCTTGGGACTTGTTTGATTTCTCAACGTGAATGTACTTAATTTATTTTATCTGAAAATTAGATTTACCTTGATACTTTATATTCAAGATAAATTCCACCACCTTTTTTCTGTCGTGATTATTTTTTTTTTTTTTTTATTTTTATTTTTTGTGCTCAAAATGGCATCGAATTTATGATTTGGTTTGATTTAATTTTTTATGTAAGACTAACTTTCGTGATCGTAGCTGCATTATATGAATTCAAACTTTATTCTATGGACAACAACTTCTACATATCTTTCTAATACCCATAATGTTTCATTTGTTGATTCTACTTTCATCACATCATATGCAATTTTCTAGGAAAGAGACAATTGGATTGCGATTGTATAAAAATAATACTCCCTCCGTTCCAACTCAATGTATATTTTTATCATTTTAGTTTCTCCATTTAGAAGTATCATTTTTTTATTATTACAGTAAAAATAATTATACAATAATACTAAAATATTTTAACTTTTATATAAATTATAAATATATTATTGCAAATACAATTAATTTATACATAAAATATATCAGAATCATCTTATATACTTAAATTAATTAATAAAATACTTTATTTTTTTTTTAATTTACCTAAACAATCCAAAATATGCTTTGGATGGGGATGGCGGGAATATTTTCATATATATATATTTAGGACATGCGAACTTAAAATCGTTACTCTTGGATCGAATGCGCTCTGATAAGCACCGGCAAATTTAATAGCATGCAAACTAGGTTCGATAAGACAAGTCACATTAGGCGAATCATATATTTTAATTTATTCCTAGAGGTTAATGCAAAGTTTTCTCTGATGGATATTCTTTAATTTTGCATAATCCGAAACATTGTGGTGTGTTCTTTAAAAAAAAACACACACACACACGGTTTTTTTTTGAAAGAGTTAATATATCACATATTTATTATTTTTATATTATTTACACAGTTTTTCATGCATTACATCAAAAAATAATCCTTTAAATTATCTCACAAAACAAACCCACTTGATTTTTACAATAAGATATTTGGATTTGCTCATCTTGTTCAATCAATCTTTGATAACAAATTTCATAAGTAGATAAATAAATAAATTAGAGGATATTTTTATTATAAATAATCTTAATATATGTGTTGTTAGTCGTTGGATGGACCGGTGATTAAAAAATAATTGAGAAACTAAAAAAAAAAAATTATGAATCAAACTAATTATAACAAATTATCATAAAATTTAAATCGAAAGAAATCACATAAATTTCAAAATAGATTTGAATGATAGGATTTAAAAGTTATTACTGGAAATCTATATTTTTATATTTTATACATTTAAAATAGTATTATAAATTCTATTATGATAATAATATCTTATTCTCATTGCATTTAAGATAGTCAAACAATTATTTTTCACCTATAAATATTTTTAAATTTTTTTGTTAATTTTCTAGATATACAAAATCTATGCTTACAATCTTTGATAGATTTATATAATATGATATATACAAAAAATTGAATGACTTTTTCAAGGACCATAAATATTATTTACTTTTATATTAATTTAAAATAAAAAAAATAATTAAAGATGATTTTCATGTCTCAATATTTTGCCTATATATACTAACATCAATAAGCATTATATTTCATCATTTCTAAAAATATTTCATAAAATACTTGAAATATGAAGAGTGGAATGACATTTTTTTTCCTCTTATGTTTACTTGTGTTTGTTAGAGGTTGTTACATTCTTTTTTTTTTTTTTTTGCCCCTTCAATATATATTTTTAAACCTATTTACTCTAAAGTATTGCAACTTTTTTTGCTCCTTCAATATAACTTCTTGTGTTTTGATTTAATATTTTGATTAATGTTAATTGATGATGATTTAAACATTTTCCCCAATTTTTTTTTTTAATGAAAGTAAAAGTCTACTATAAAAAAAATAGATAGTAATCGGTTTTCTCTATTAGAACGAAAGTTCAACGTTATTTTATATTTTTTTGTCCTATATAGTTCGTCTAGTGTGAGTTGCATTGTCTGACTAATTTTTAAACTATTAAACTAGGCGAAAAATTTATCCAAAATGCATTTAAAGAGCCGCAGATTCTAATGTCATAAAAAAAATGATCATGTAACAATAAATTAATGTTGGATGAAATAATTTTTACCTATTTTATTTATTCATGATATTGTTTGCTATGTATATAATTTGATAAATTTATATTGACAATTTATTGTAGGCACCGAGTACGAGATCAAAGCTAGAGTTTGCAAGAAAAAATTTATTTTGTCGAATCCGGATTGCGACATACCAAATTGTAATAAAGTCTGTTTGCAAAATATCAAAGCACAAGGTATTCAAGGTCGATGTGTATTAAGTGATACGTGTGAATGTATTTATCGATGTAGCTAAGACATTTTAAATTTGTAATAATGAACTCTCAAGAAGAGCATTATTTCTAGCTGTAATAGAATTAAATAATAATAATAATAATAATAATAATAATCAAATTCTATTTTACTATGTTATCTATTAATCAACAATTATTATTATTATTGTTATTATTTATTTATTTATATTGTTATTGTTGTTGTTTCAAAATATTGCGGACATACCAGTTTATTAAAATCACATAATTACGAAAATTAAAACATCGAGTTTATTCACTAAATATTTTTCTACATAATACAATTTTTGATAAAATATTGTAAATTAAAATATCACAGCTTGAAATGAAAAAAAATTAATAATACTTCCTCCATCCTAGGAAATATGAGACTAGTACTGTAGATAAATTAGATAAAATATAATTAGTAAATAATTAAAAAGTGTATTAGTAAAAATAGTTATTGTATAATAAAAATAATTATAGATTAAGATTAATATAACTAAATAGTTTAATTAAAATTAAAAAAATTATAAAATATAAAATTAAAAATGTGATTAAAGTATATAAATATATTTTAAGTAAAAAAATAAAGAAATTAGATGAAAATAACGAAAATAAAAAATATAAACAAATTATATAAAAAATATTATTTAAATATTATTTTCTAACAATTCTATATTAATAAAAAAAGACATTCGTACAGTCAAAGCTAATTAAATAATTAGTTAAATGGTAGTATGATTTTTAATTATATAACAAAAAGCTGGTTATTCGTCTCCTTGACACCACACACAGTGCAACCGTGTCACTATAAAGCCCATCACCATTGTTTCTCCCGGAGGTCCTTGCTGTTACAACACCTTATAAATCTCCACCGTCCATTAATAAGATCAACGGTAGAGATCATTCTGGAGCAGAGACTCCCGGAGCTTGAAAGCTCCAAAGAGGTAGGGTTCATCTTGTCTTATTCGCTTACACCATCTCGTCTGGTTTCCACGTGCTGCTTGCGAACTCTACTCCTCCCTCACATTCTCCAATTCCTTCGATCAATCCCACTGCTGATCTCTCTTTGACCGGTATTTCTTGGGCTATCCATTTTCTGGAGAACTCCGCAGCTTCCTTGGTTTAATGTCATTTTTCCTCTCAAATTAGGGTTTTCAATTAGGGATTCCGATTCGGAAAAATGGTGATGGAGATAGTGCACGAAGAAATTGGGGAAGGTAGCGCACAATGCGCGAATCATCCGTACAGAAACAGCGGTTCGGGAGGGATTTGCGCTTTATGCTTACAGGAGAAGCTTGGAAAGCTCGTGTCGTCTTCCTTCCACACGGCGGTTTTCCCGTCGTCTCCGTCGTCGTCGTCGTCGCCGTCGTTTAGATCTGAATTTGGGGCTGGTCCTCAAGTCCCGGGCCTTGGGACGGCAAGTAAAGGCTCCAGGAGAGCGAAACTGCCGTTCGTTTCGGGTCGGAAGAAAAAGGGGAAAGATGGAGGGAGTTCAGATCCCGGCATTGTTTTTAAGAGAAGCAAATCGACAGCTACTCCGAGGAGAGGTATGCAGTTTCTGGACGAAGATTACAGCCCTAGCAGAAGGGGATTTTGGTCATTTCTTTACCTATCATCGTCGTCATCGAAGCGTTCGTCTGGTAGGAAGACTCTCAACAGCTTGAAGAAGATGAGCGTAAATCTAGCCAATGTGGGATCATCGTCAGGGTCGTCATCTGGTATGAAAAGGGAAGAGTTGGAAGGGAATGGGAATGGGAGGAGCCCTGAGGAGGCCGCCATGGCTGACAGGAAGGTCTCGAGATCCAGATCTGTTGGGTGTGGCAGCAGGAGCTTTTCCGGCGACTTTTTCGAGAGAATTTCGACTGGATTTGGCGATTGTACTTTGAGAAGAGTCGAATCACAGAGGGAAGGGAAGCATCTGCAGCAATCGAAGGCCACAAGCAGCAACTCTGGAAATGATTGCATCAAGGAAAGGGTTAGATCATGTGGTGGGATTTTCAGTGGATCATATTTGGTTGCATCTTCTTCGTCGATTTCCGGAGGTCATTTGAGGAGTAAGAGTAATTGGGGGTGGGCATTTGCAAGTCCAATGAGGGCTTTTGGGAAGCCATCATCATCATCTTCTTCTGCAAAAAGGGTTTCTTCCCAGAACAAGAATGCATCTCCAAATTTGGCTGCAATTCCTTCATTGCTCGCCGTCGGCGGCTGAATTGGCAGATACAATTTACAGGTTTTATCGAAGCCCTTGGTTGATGTTTGTTTATTGCTCTGTTTAATTAATTCTGTGTTAACTGATGTTGCTACATGTTTGCTACTTGCTATTTATGATGATGATGATGCTATAAAGTTGTTTGGTTTATCTACTCTGTATCTGCAATGTGTTTGGATTCACCATTGGTATATCTGTTACGATCTTGAGATCGTGACCGACACTCTGATTAATTAGGCAATAGCAACGATTATAAGGGGATCGAACGTGTTTTAGGAGCTTTAATTGGTGCCAATGCAATTCAAATGTTGGTTTAAACAAGAATCTTTCTCCATTTCATCATATGAATTGTTATCATGTTGTTGTTATATAAAGTGCATTTTTCTTGGATGATTTTGATGCAAAAAGGGTAGGTATTTTGGGGGGTGATTGTTGCACTTCATTGCATGGTTTTTGAGAAACTTTTGAAGGAAAAAAAGAGGGGTTGGAGATTGGGTGTTGGGATCCCACCTAGGTGTTTGGATCTCACTTTTTGATGTCTCAAATTGGACAATTCTTGGAAGTACTTTCTGTGGGACATTTTGGATGTCCTAAATATTATAAAAAGAAAGCTTATGAGGTCACATGGTAGTAGGGAAGAGATATGCCCTTTTGCAATCATTTATCAAAATTTTAAGTGATGGGGAAGAGATAAGGGGAAGGACCATACGAGTTTTAGTCAAAAGTGTTGCAAGTACATGCTATTGTGGATATGGACCTTTTCAAATAAACTTTAGAATAAGTATAAGATACAATGATTTAAGAAAATAAAAATTAATTGTTAATTTAGAATTAGATCCAGAGTTTTAACAAAGAGAATGGTGCATCTTAATGAAAATTTAGGGAACATAAATGTAATTCACCTTGGAATTTTTAAGTAATGTAATATGGAGAACAAATTGTCTAAAATTTTATTATGATGTGTTATGAAATGTGTGGTTGGTCTTATTGATTTACAGAAATTGATCACCATAAATCATTTGAATATTGACCTCATGTTCAAGATTTTGTTTACTATTCCTTCCAATTTTACATTTGTAATGTTTATTCAATTTCTTTCTTTCTTTTTTTCAATATATATATATATATATGTATATATTTACTATCTACTTATATCTAAAATATTATATATATATATATAAAATTTATGGGTGCGGATCTTAGGCTGATCCGGCCAAGTCAACCTAGTGTTGATTTAATCGGATCAACATAATTCATGCCCATAATCAATATATATTTATATATAAATACAACATATGTTGAATTATAATACAATATAGTATAAATATATATTGATTACCTGTTTAGCATAAGTTGAATCAGTTAAATCAACACCATACTAACTGACCGGATCATCAAGGGATCCATACCCAAAATTTAGTATCTAATATAAGTATAATATCCAACATATATATATGTACATTTTAAATTATATCATTTTCCAAACAATTACAACTACCAAAAGCTCTTAAAGTATATCTAAACACGCCAAAAGGTATCTGATAAAAAAAAAAAAAAAAAAAAAACTTTTAGGCAACGAATGTGGATTCTCACATTATTAAAGAAGAAAAAAAGAAAAAAAAAAAAAAAAAGCACGCCCTAATTAAGGTCCAACCACAATGTTACATGGTTTTTTGTTGCAAATTTAGTATGTCATAATTGTTAGATTGGCATAAAATATCAATATTTTCAAACGTAAGTTGTAACTAAGTTATTTTAAGTTTTATATTATTTTCTTTTGTTATTAGTACCACGACCTCATTGTGTGAGAGCCATTATAATAATCAAAGAAAAATCTTCCATTGATATTTTATTTATTATAATGGCTTATTTGATAGATACAATAATGTAGTCTCTAGTGAAATTCCTAATGAAAGTATATCTAGATATAGATCAATTTCAGTCTAAATAAATAATTAATTAATTAAATTCTCTTAAAGTTTATATATTATATATTATAATATTGTAATTGTACAGAAACTATAATTTAAGAATGATTAAACATCAAAAGTTTGAATCAAAGATGTCCCACTCACTAGGATCCTCTGTTGTTTGTTTTCTCTGGCCTGGCCTTGGATTGGATGTCCTTATCCTTATTAACATATATCTCCAAGAAACGACAAAGCACTACAAAATTTCAGGGAAAAAGGTTTTCAAACTACCAATAATGTGATTAATGGAAATATATATATACACATATAGTAGCCCATTTGGTCCAAAAGGGCCCTGTTTAGTAGGGACGTCAACGAGACGGGTTCGGAACGGGTTTTGCTGGCTTCGGGATACGCTCTGCTAGAAAATATTAGGAGTGTGTTTGAGAAAAAGCTTTTTGAAGAGCTTTTAGCTGTTTGATCGTAAAAAAACTAATTTCGAAAAGCTATTTGCCCAGAGCGTTTTGAAAGAATTTTTTCATTTTCATTTTGATTATTCTTTATTTACCCTTAAAACTTAATTATTTATTTTATACATATAAATATATTTTTATAGCCGTATTTATTAATTATTTTTAATATATTTAATTTATTAAATTATTTTTTTATTTTTGTAAATTTAAAATAATTACTATTATTAATTATTATATATAAATTATTTTATCTGTAAAATGTATAAATTTATTTATATATATTAAAATAATAATTAACATAATAAAAAAATATATACGAAAGATTTATTATTTTATATTTTACATAATTTTAATAAAAAATTATTATTTTTTAGTAAAAATAATTTTCTCAGATCTAAATAATAAAAATAAAAATAAATATTTTATAATATTTTTATAATTTTCAATAATTAATAACAAAAATTCTCATAAATTTCAAACCAAAATGAACAAAATTAAATATTTTAAAAAATAACATATCAATGTCTTTAATAGTCATTTTATATATAAATAGTTAACGTCAAACAGTTGTTTTAGCAAACACTCTAATACAAACCGCTAATTGAATCAACTAGTCAAGCCAGCTAATTGAATCAGCTCACTTCTAAAAGTTATCAGCTAATTGCCAAACGCACCCTAGAACCAAAGATCTGACCTGCCCCGCTTCAACTCAACTCCAGGACTCGTTCCGCCCGGAATCTTCCGGGTTTGGAGCCAACTCGACAAACTCATTTTTTTTTAAGAAAAAAATAAAATAAAATATTTTAAAAAATTTAATACTAAAAAAAGTATGTGTCAAAATACCAAAAAATTATAGTTCTAAATAAGAACAATCAATATTGACGATAGTCCGTAGTGATGGCGGTTAGCAGTAATTTCGATTATAAAGAGAATTTTAGAAGAAATAAATACCAAGATAAATTTAATTTAGAACTAAGGTTCTATTTTATATTTAATTTTTTTAAAAAATAAATAAATAATATAATTTATATTGTATTAAAATATAAATAAATTATAATAATTATTAAAATATCCAAGTTTGGATCCGAGTCCGAAATGGGGCTAGTTTATAGTAAAACTCGTAACCCGCCCTGAACCCGGCTGGATAACCCGTCATGAACAAAATTTTTTAGACCCAAACCCGCTCCATTAAAACTGATTCGAGGGGGCGAGGAGTCCGGGCTAATCCGCCCCATTTGACATCTTACTGTTTAGTGATGCTTAATCAACTAAAACTATAATTAGCAAAACTACAAAAGCAACCATGGTGATGATGTAAATGCAAGAAGTTGTGGGTGTTTTTTTTTTTTTTTTTTTCTAATTTTTTATACAAGGTTTTCAAATTTATTATTTGTACACTATATCTTTTTTTAATAAAAATATATTTACTTTTTTTCATATAATATCTCATTAAATATTAGTTTCATATTAAACTAAAACTAAAATTTTAGAATCAAAACGCAAAGAAACACACTCTGAAGAAGGGACATGACCCTTGATTTATGACTTGCGGATGACAACAATAATATTATAGAAAGACACGTTAGAAAAGACTGCGAATGTTGGAGATGATAACAACAACAACAACAATAATAATAATAATAATAATATACTGTACAATACCTTTTAGTTTGCTATATGATTGTAGATATTTATCCTGTTTGAATAACGATTGGAAAATTTGAAAATATGACTTGATTTAGGGTGAGTTGATGTTAATTAGTAAGAACAAATTTTAATGAAAAGAAACCGAATATAAGAAATGAGTCAATGCCAGAAAGTTTTTATTTTTATTTTTATTTTTTTTCCGACAAAATACAGTTGATGGAAAAATAAAATGACAAAAACTTTTCGAAACAACATGCTATCAAAGATACCGGCGAACATAGCAAAAGTAAAATTGCCAACAGAAGTATTGCGGGAGTTGGGAAATTTATAAAAATCAAGACAGCTTACAAGAAGATAAAAATTTATTGATTCAGTTCAATCAAAGTGATATATATATATATATACACAGTGTATTAGACGAGGCTGGACAAAACTGATGCTGAGGATCCGATGCCAATAAAACCTAAGTAACAATACAACAAAAAAAAAAAAAGGCCAAAAGCGTAGCATTCTTCAAACAAGAGCATAGCGAACATATTTAGGGTGTGTTTGTTTGGGGGATTGGATTTAATATCCACTATTCATCCCATTCCCCCCCCTAAAAAAAAACATCGAATCAAACACCTATTTTTCATTTTTTATATTATACTAAAAATCAATTTTACATTCAAAACATCACATCAACACCTATTTATATCACATCATACAACTATTTAAATTCAAAATTTTTACTATTCAAATCCCAACTCAAAATCCAAACCCTAAACAAACACACCCTTAGAGTAAAACACTAAGATGAAAATGATAGGGTGTGTTTGTTTATGGGTTTTAGTTTTTGGGTTTGGATTTTTAAATAATAAAAGGTTGAATTTAAATAGTTGTTTGATGTGATATAAATAGAGGTTGATGTGATATTTTGAATGAAATAAATTTTTAGCATAGTATAAAAAATAAAGTAATTGGTTGATTTGAAATTTTTAGAGGGAACAAAAATTTGAATAGTAATTGAAAATGAAAATTTTTAACCACAGTAATAACTAACTGCAGTTAAAATTCCTTACAGCTCGAATGTTTTGAATACCGATCGAAAAGCTTAGCCCCGACAAAGCACTACCATACCAAGC